GGTGGTGATGATGATGACAATGATGATTATGCTGATGATGGTGGTGATGATGATGAGGATGAAGACGATGATGATGATGATGATGATGATGATGATGATGATGATGATGATGATGATGATGATGATGGTGATGATGATGATGATGATGCTGATGCTGATGATGATGACGATGATGATGACGATGATGATGATGATAATGCTTATGATGATGATGATGATGATGATGATGATGATGATGATGATGATGATGACGATGCTGCTGCTGATGATGATGATGATGATGATGATGGTGGTGGTGGTGGTGGTGGTGGTGATGATGATGATGATGATGTTAATGATGAGGAGGAGGAGGAGGAGGAGGAGGAGGAGGAGGCGGAGGCGGAGGAGGAGGAGGAGGAGGAGGAGGAGGAGAAGTTACGGAATTACGGATATCGCGACTGTGTCGCGAAACGCTTGCTAAATGAGGCACATTACCCTGCAGAATCTCGACTGGGCTTTGGCTCGACTGGCCTTCTCGGATGAGCTGTAGGCTTTGGGCCGTCTCCCTTCAGAGATATTCTTCAAATATTGGGCTCTGTTACCTGTGGCAGGCCCCGTGCACTCACCTCCCAGAGCGGCGGGTTGCTCGGCAGCGAAGCTGTCACATCTGCCACAGAACCATATCCCCAACACAGAATGATGCTTGAGCTGGTGACTACTATGAGCCCATCCCCCACATATGTGCACCCGACGTCCATGGGGGAGATCATATATTACACCATCAACCGAACGCAGAGGAAAACAAAGCGAGTCCAGCCAGGTTCGGCGAGCAGCCTGGGACGTGGAGCCTTTACACTGCAAACAGGAGTTCCCTTCTTCAGACAGCCTGTGTTGCGACGAAAACGCGGAACAGATCTGGGGAGCAGGTGGCCTGGGTCCAGGGTGCCAAACGCGGGCTGTATGGGGCTCCTCATTAGACAGGCTTTGCTCGGCCTCAAGAGTCTGCAGGGTGCTTCTAAGGATCGTCATCCGAACCAAGTACGCCATATGCTCGACCTGAGCCACTCGGGCCCGATCATATTCTGAAACTCTACACAGACTAGCTCCTACACCCGCGAGATGGTCGACTATAGTGTTACCGACTACATACAGGGGCGGAGCGCGGCCGGCTACTACATCCTTGGCCTCCAGGTGAGAGTGAACGAGTATCACACAACACTGGATGAAAAGGTCGGCGACCGATCTCAGCACCCATAGCATACCACAAATCTCCGTCCTCGCCGTCTGGAGAAAATGATTTTCCTGCGTGCCAGCCTTCACATACGTTTGCATTATCAGTTATGTAATTGAAATGTCCTGACGCCCCTCATCAAGCCACAAGCAAGGCGTGCAACTCGCCTCGCGCGACGGTCTGCCTCTCACCAGGCAGACCACCTCAGAGAGCCTTGCTGATAGACATCTGCTCGTCAAGGTGTTCGAAAACGGCCAGCGCAACTCCGACCCGTCTGAGACGTGGGTCCCTCGTGTCTTCGCCGCCGCTGGCGTCCCCGAAGATGAAGGTGGGGTCATCTGCGCCTCCACCTCCCAGAACTCCAGGCTCGAAGGCATTGGTCCCGAACGCGTGCCACGCCTCCTCGCTCTGCGGCGGCGGAACTCGAACCCATTCGGCTGGGATGGGCCCCCGCAACCAGAAGCATGGCCCTGCTTGGTGCTGCACCTGAGCCTTCATCAAAAGCTCATCGTTCATGTCGTAGATGGGGTGCGGTGTCCTGCCAGAGCACGCCCCCCAGCAACGGTGAAAACTGTCCTCGGGCTCGGTCTGGCAGCGAGCACACAGCGGCGACAAAGCAAGCTTGGCCCGCTCCGATCGCCTCGTGCGCGGCCAGGCTGCCCCAGCCGCCGCCGCCAGCATGGGCCCATGCAGCTTGGGCCCTGTTGGGGCCGTCACGCAACTGCTGGATGAGGACTCGATGCGACATTTTGCACGCGCCGAACTGCACACCCTCGCAGTCGAAGTGATTGGCGGCCTCCCTCCACTGCCGAGACTGAACCGTGGCATCGAACTCGCGCAAGAAGGAGGTCGGCACGTCCAACGAGCGAAAGCCCGTCAGCCGTCAAGGTCGAACTCCAACGCGTCGTACCTGCCGTCGCCGTCGGAGGCTGGGAGCTCCCGCGTGGCCGGCCCTATGGGGTTCCAGCCCTCCTGAAGAAGGTAACATATGACCGCCGGCTGCGGCCCTCGAACATGTCTGCTCCGCTGCGCCGCTGGAACTGCGCGGAGATCTTGAACCAGCCTAGACCGCGTGCGTGGGACCCCAGCTCTCATGGATGGCTCAGTCGTCCAGCATCGCAGCCACAACTGTTGGCATTCCCTCGGCATCTTCAAGGCGCGGTCACGGCCGGGAGCACATGGGTCCAAGAGCGTGGTGGTGCATCGGCCCGAAAGCCGTGGGGCAGTCGCTTCGCTCGCATGAGATCTCATGGTCTGCGTGCGCCTGCCGAAAACGCCATGCAGCTGGTG